GATGGGGTGGGATGGGATGGGGTGGGATGGAGATGGGATGGGATGGAGATGGGATGGGATGGGATGGGATGGGATGGGATGAGATGCAATGAGATGCGATGGGATGCGATGGGATGCGATGGGGTGCAATGGGGTGCAATGGGATGGGATGCAATGGGATGCAATGGGATGCAATGGGATGCAATGGGATGCAATGGGATGGGATGCAGTGGGATGGGATGGAACAGTCCTCCCACACCAGAGCCCAGCTTGGGAGCACACAGCATCACAGAGACCCTGGCAGTGCCACATTCCCCAGGGGAACTCCCCCCCCGGCTGTTCCTGGGGACACTTTTGCACCTGAAAGCCATCGGGGTGGCAGCGATCCCGTCTACCCTGCTCCCTCAGAGACTCATAGGCGCCTCTTAATGGGACTTTAATTATACATTTACTGTCACCATTTTTTTTTCTCCTTGTGTCTCTCTCCGGAGCTCAGCTCCCCAGCGATGTAAATACTCCAAGTGTGCCGTGGGGACTGTCAGCTCCACTAATGACCACCTGCGAGGCTGCCGGTGGCGTGGGGACACGCGGGTGACACCACCCCGTCTGGCTCAGCGGTGTCCCCAACCCCAAGGCAGCAGCTCTACCTCCAGCCCCCAGGGAGATGCTGTCAGACCCATGTCCTGCATGAGGACCGTGATGCTGGGCTGGTCCTGAGCAACAGGATGATGACACGGCAGCAGCCATCCCCAGCAGAGCATCCCACACGCCCGAGGTGACGCCTGATGCTCACTGTCAGGTTGCATCCCAATGCTGTACGTCCTTCCCTTGGAGCCCGGGCTGAGCTGAGCACTGTTCAGCATCATTCCACCAATGAATGCCGTGGGCTCTGCGTGCTGCAGGCACAATTAGGGGGGCAGCCCCTCACCCGCTGTTGGCTCCGACCCCAAGAAACAGCCATGAACATTCCCATCGCTGCTCATTTTCTCTCTGTTAATTAGGAAGGATACGAGGTCACCCACCAGAACGTCCCCAGTGCCTCTCCAAACCCACACATCCCACTGGGGTGTGTGTGATGCTCATGTGTGTGACACTGCTGTGTGTGACACTGCTGTGTGCGTGGCGTGACACGACCCCCCAATTAATCCCAGGTGCTTCGTTAACGGCGCTGGGTCTCCTTTATCCAGAGATGGACTGGGGGTGGGGGCAGGTGGGGGAGGCTTTGAAATATTGGGGAAAAAACTCCCGTTTTCAGTATTGTGGGTGTCTCTGAAGCACTTCTGCAGGAGATTTGTTCTGCTGGAGGGGACGAGCCCCTCCTGAGCACCACTCTGTCACCAAGCCTCCAAATCCACCGCAGGCTTCTGTAAAAAGGGGAATGTGCTGAATGCAGACATCCGCCTTCCCATGTTCCTGTATCCTCATGTCCCTGTGTCTCCCTGTCCCCGTGTGTCCACGTGTCCCCATGTTCCTGTGTCACCCTGACCGCATGTTCCCATGTCTCAGTGTCCCCGTGTCCCCGTGCTGCCGTGTCCCCAATGTCCTTGTGTTCTCATGTCCCTGTATGCCTGTGCCCCTGTGTCCCCATGCCCCCATGTCCCCGTGTCCTCATGTCCCTGTGTCACCCCGCCCTTGTGTCATCCTGTCCCCATGTCCCCAAGTCCCCCTGTCACCCTGTCCCCATGTCCCCATGTTCCCATGTCCCCAAGTCCCCGTGTCCCCATGTCCCCATGTCCCTATGTCATCCTGTCCCCATGTCCCCATGTCCCTATGTCCCCATGTCCCCATGTCCCTATGTCATCCTGTCCCCGTGTCCCAGCCAAGTGTGACACCCCACCACTGCGCATCCCCCCCATAAATCCCACCATATCCCCTCCCTCCCCAACCCTCCCCAACGACCCCCAAACACCTCCCCATCCCCATCTCCTTCCTCCTGCATCCCCTCATTCCTCCCCTTTCCCCCGCCCCCCCCAAAAAAAACAAACCAAACCAAACCAAAACCACCCAAAGAAAGGCCCGGGCCAAGCCGGGATCATCCCAGCAATGCCTTCGGAGGGCTCAGGGCCGGAGGTTCATTAACGCTGCGTTCGTTAGCGCGGCGGCAGGGCAGCATGGCGTGTGGGAGGGCAGACGCCAGGCTGTCTGCTCCCACTCGGTTCGGGGTGTTATTAACTTCTCCCCGGGCTGCCGCTCACCCGCAGCTCCTGCGCTTGGCTTCGGGCTTTCCCCGCGCCGCTCCATCTGCAGCGCCGTAATTACAGCTGCTGGGATCTCCCTTTATCTCGGGCGATCTCAGAGGTTTGTTACCTGGCACATGCTCTTCCCTCCCTCCCTCCTTTCCAACCCCCCCCCCCCCCCTTCCCCCCCCCCTCCTTGCACTCCTCCCTCCCTGCACCCCTTTAATCCTTCCTGCTTTCATCAGCAGCCGGCAGCTACAAACCCGAACTCCGCTCTTCTTTGCAGGATATTCTGAGGATGGGGAGGGAGGGGGGGGGGGGATTTTTGCAATATTCCCCATTCCAGGGGACAGCAGAGCCGCTCACAGAGCAGTGGGACCACGCGGGGACGCCTCTGTGCTCCCCAGCACCGCTCGGGTCCTGACGTGTATCAGCGCTTCCCAACCCCGACAGCGAGGTTTGGAATTGGCCCCGAGCGCGGCTGTGATTTATTTTTTTAATTTAATCTGAGATGATTTGATGTATTTGCCTTGGCACCGGGTTTTCTTAAAACCCCAAACCCCGCTCAGGCAATGCGAGCTGCACCTCGCAGCCCCAGTGCCGGGGTTTGAGGCTGCCCCGTGTGCCCCCTGCAGGTGTCGGAGCCATCGGGGTTTTCTGTGGGGCTTTGGGGACGTTGGTCTCCGCCCCCAAGGGGTTGGGGCCGGTAAGGAACCAAGCGAGGGAAAGTGGAGCGGAGAGCTGTCCGTGAGCCCGCTGTGGATGGACAGACAGACTGCAGGGTTTGGGGATGCTCCATTGCACAGCTGTGGGTGCCTGACCCCAAATCTTGTTTGTGTGAGGCCAGGTTCTGCTGGGGAGGAGAGGGTGGCCTCAAACCCGCTTTCCCTTGGTGCTGCCCAATGGGAGACCCCCACCTGGGGGGACCCATCTGTTCTCCATAGGATTCAGTGGGACCAGACCCCCTGTTTGGCATCCTCGCCCAAGGGGGAACTTGGCTCTCCTTCCATCCTAAGCCATATAAACGTGCACAGGGATGCCAGCATCTAGACAAGGGTGCAGCCATGCCAGGTGATGGAATGTGAGGCTCTTCTTGTTCCCCAAGGGGTGAAAAATGCCACCAAGGTCCCCTCTGCCCAACCTGTCCTTAAAATATCCGAGCAGAGAGGTGGGCATGGCCTATGGGAGCCCTCATCCTTTGGAGCACCCACCCACCCAAAACACCCACCCTGAGGGCTCAAGTATGGGCCTGATCCCACCTCTCCCCAGGGCACTGGACCCAGGTCCACGCTCCATATAGGGAGCCCAGAACCCGTTCCAATGGGGCTGTTCTATGGGTCCAGCTGTGCTGGGCACGATCCTGAGGTCAGGATGGAGGCGGATGGCAGAAGACCAACAGGGAATGGGACGGGGGCAGGAGCTGTTTGGTTCAGAGCCCGGGGCAGCAGCGGGGTCCCAGCCTGGGGGTTAGTGAGCAGCTCAGCTATTTATATCGGAGCTGCTGAGTGACTCAGAGCCGTCGCGATGGCGAGATGGAAACATGTTTTGGAGATGGTCTAATGGGAGGGTGGGGATGGGGGACCCTCCCTGCCAGCATCCCCGGCCAATGCCACCTCCTCCCAGGCAAAGCCCTCGTGGGGCGGCGCTGAGACCGGGCGCGCTCGTGGCTGATGTGAGCCACCCGGCTCTGTGCCACCATGTCCCCAAACTGCAGAGGTGCAGCAGGTTGTCCCCCTGCAGCCAGCAGGCACCGAGGCATGAGGTCTCGTGTCCAACCCTCCATCTGTGTCCATCCAACCTCTGTCCACCTCTGCGCTTTCTCCCATCCCTGTTGTGCCCCCACACCGGTGACCCCGGTGCTTTTTGTCCCTCCGTGCCCACGTCCAAGGGGTCGCGTCCCTTCACGCGCTGCCATTCGCTTTTTGTCCCCTCTAAGGACGGGGTCCCCGTGCAAAGCAGCGCCCCGCATTGAGGACAAGACCCTCCCTCAGGGGAGGACCGGGACGCAGGGGGAGGTCGCGGCGTCCCCCTCCCATCTCCCCTCCTGGCCACAGCCGGCCCGGGAGACCCCGCGTCGGGAGAGAGGCACAGAGGGGAGACCCCCGAGGGGAGGGCATCCAGGGGGCTGCCCCGGAGTGTGGGGGGGTGGGAGCGACGTCCCTGGGCGGGGCTCAGGGGGCGGGGCGGGGCGGGCAGGGGATCCCCCGGGCGCGGGGCCGCGGTGCGGCAGCGCGGAGCCCGGCGGGGGGGGCTGCGGGGCGCGGCGCTGCGGGCTCCGAGGGCGGTCCGGCCCGGCCCGGTCCGGTTCGGCCCGGCCATGACCATGAGCTCCGTCACCGAGAGCTTATTGGGCTCCGACCCATCCAAAACTTCTTTCCTGGAGCTCGGCCACCCCTCTCCTCCGCATTACCCGCTGCACGGCCTCCACCCCGCCGGCCACCCCCAGCACGACCCGTCGCCCTTCTCCTCCTACAGCCGGCCCGGTTCCTATCCTTACCCCGGCGGTCCTCCCCCCCCGCCCCACGGCAGCCCCTACCTGCCCTACCCGCCCCAGCATCCCCCGGCCGGGCTGGCCCACGGCGCCGGGCTGCAGGACGCAGGTAAGGCGGCCGCGGGGGGTTCCGGTCCCGATCCCGGTTCCCATCCCCGTTCCCATCGCTGTCCCGTCCCGCCCCGTCGAGGCACCGCGGCGCTGCCGCTCCCCGCCCCGCAACCGTCGGAAGCGCTTCGGGGCGGCCCATGGGCAGCGCGAGCGGGCGGGGGGCTCGGACCTCCGCTGGGGGGGAGTCCTAAGGGAGGGAAGACACGGCGGTGGGTGGGTGCGAGGCTGCGGGAAGCCCCCGGAGGGCTGCAGAGCCCCGGCTGTCCCTATCCCGCAGCTCCTCCCCTCGGTCCTGTCGCGCGCATCCCAATTGCCGTCTGTTTTCCCCCAAAGCTGAAAGCTAACCCCCAGCTCTCCAGCTCCCCCTCTCCCCCCAGGGCTCCCAGCAGAGGGGTCCCACGCTCCGCTGAGCCCTTTCCCAAGGCAGCGGGGTGGGGGGTGCGGGGCTGCGCACGCTCCTGATTTCCAGTGTCTCTCTGAAAGCAGAGGTGCTGTCACCGCCGTCTACCCATGTCCCCAAAAGACCCGCAGATACTCAGAGCCACCACCGGGGTTGGAGGTGACACAGAACCCAAAGAACAGGGCTGCCTGGGAGATGGGGGTCTCAGCCACCCCCCATTGCCTCGCAGGGCCCTGTCCCCCCACCCACCCCTCACAGCATGCATGCCACGGGGCTGTCACCTTCCTACTGTGGGGGTCGAGCAGTACTGAATGAACGGCGCCATCCCTCCACCTCATTCACTTTTTTCCTGAATGAAGTGGTGAAGCAGAGGCAGATCCCTGTGCAAAGTAACCTCCACAGCAGAGCCCAGCGCAGCCCCACTGATGGGGCACCCTTAGGGGCAGCGCAGCCCCAGTGGTGGGGCTCTGCAGGGCCAACACAGCCCCTGTTAACAGAACGGCCCCAAGGAGCAACGCAGCCCCCAGGGATGGGGCAGGGCAGCCCCCAGGGACAGCGCAGCCCCCAGTGCCATTGCGGCCCCCACTGACCCCAGGGACAGCGGAGCCCCCATTGACAGCACAGCCCCTCAGGCACAGCACATCCACAGCGCCGTGGTTCCCCTCCTGTCCCCACTGACTCTCCTCTCCTCTCCCTCCCCAAGAACCCAACAAGCCTCCGCCAGTGGCCAACGGCGAGCTGCGCCTCAACGGCAAGGGGAAGAAGCTGCGCAAACCACGCACCATCTACTCCAGCCTGCAGCTGCAGGCCCTCAACCAACGCTTCCAGCAGACCCAATACCTGGCGCTGCCCGAGCGCGCTGAGCTGGCGGCCCAGCTGGGGCTCACCCAGACCCAGGTAGGGCTGAGCCCCCCGACCCCGACACCCAGCGCCTCCCCGGGGGACGTTTGTGGCGCACGCACGGATCGAGTCCGGATCGGGGCGCCTTGGAGCCGTGCCGTGCAGCCGGCGCCGCTGGGGCCCTGCGGGTGGGATTTGGGGTGCCCCTGCTCGCACCTCCCAGAGGCAGAGGGACTTTCCCAGCCCTGGAGCCTGGCTGCTGGCCCAGCCGTGCCCGGCGTTGGGCGGCCCCGCGCCGCGGGATGGGGTGAGTGGGTTTTTGAAGGCGATGGGGAGAGACAGGCAGGCGGCAGCGGTGCAGCCCGGAGCCAGGGGCGAAGCGAGCTCATAAAGACGGGGAAGAGGAGGCAAGTGGGAACCTGCCGACAGCGCGGGGGGGACCGTGGGGAGGAATGAGTGGGGCCACCACCCCGAACAGAGCGCTGTGGGCCCCACCGCGCCGCGCCCCAGCAGTGCTCCTGTGCCCGGGTTGGGCTGGAGGGGGGCACAGCTGGGGGCACACGTGGGGACACACGGGGCTGGAGGCTCTTGAGTTGCTCTCTGCTCTCCCTGTTTCCCTTATCGTCTTCTCCTCCAGCTCCTCGTGGTGGATTCTCTAGTGGCTCGCATAGGGTTGGGTTCATCTCGTGGACCCCCACACAGGTGTACTCCTAAGGTGGGGGATGAAACAGATGCAAAGTCATGGTACCTGAGGGGTGGGACGTTGCCCACCGGTGCCACCCTCCCCACATCCCTGCTCACCCCACTCTCACCCACAGGTCAAAATCTGGTTCCAGAACAAGCGCTCCAAGTACAAGAAGATCATGAAGCAGGGCTCGAGCGCACCCGATGGGGAGCAGCACCTGCACACCTCCTCCTCGCTGTCCCCATGCTCCCCCAGCATCCCCCCGCTCTGGGACATCCCTGTGCCGGGCAAAGGGCCCCCGCTGCCCCCCAGCAACTACATCAGCAGCTTTGGAGCCTGGTATCAGCCTCACCCTCAGGACTCCGTGCCCCGTGGTCCCATGATGTGACACCACTACGGCTGCAGCACCCAGCGGCTCCAGGAGGGCCAGCGAGGGGGGGACGTGCCTCCGAGCCCTGATGGGCGATGCTATGGGGGACCCCAGCAAATGGAGGATGAAGAAGAGGAGGAGGAAGGCGACCACTGTCTGCACGGACCCCCACTGTGGGCTGAAGTGAGATGTCCCCGGCACAGAGCCCTGGTACGGGCGGGACAGGACTTGGCCAAGCTGCAGCCCCAAGGTCCATGGGCACAGAGGGGCTGGAGGGGTCCCCGGACACCCTGCTCCAGGACCTGGCTTTATTTATAAGAGCCATCTGTGAACCTATGTGCCCCCTGTTATAAATAGGCTGTACAATTGTAAAGTAAAGACTGCTCCTCGGTACCTGCTGCCATGTGCTGAGGGTCTCCGTGGCCTGGGGAGAATGCTCCTGTGAGGTGGGGGCACCCAAACAAGGGCCAGGGACCCCCAGACCCTCCCCCCAGCCTAACATCTGTGCGGGACCCCCAACTATTTTCAGACCTGCCACTATTTTAAGACCCACTGCTCCCAAATGGAGGCACAATTACCGTAATTGTGGAGCCAGGCTCCTCGGTGAGGGGCTTCTCGCCACCTCCTCGGGGTAATTATGGGCAATTTGCAGCTATTGAAGCTGTCTTCCTTAATAGGGATGGGGGGGGGGGTTGGGGACCCCTGGCCCCAGCAGTGAGGGCGTATGGGGAGCAGGGGACGTTCTTCAGCTGCAGGTTTCCCAGTGAGGAACCTCTCCCTTTCCCCTTCTCAGAGGCTAGAAAACACCTTATGGCTGTTCCTTGCTTTCCCCAATCCCCACCCTGGGCTGCAGGATTGCAGCTGCATCCCTGCATGTGTTGGATGCAGGTGGGGTGGGACGCAGCGGCGATGTGTGGCTGCAGTGCATCCATCACAGTGCCACGCTCTGGGTGTCCCCACCTGCCTGCAGACCAGCAGCGACGTGTTTCCTTTGGTGTAAAACGTTCTGCTCAGGTCGTGGTGCTGCAGAGAAAGGAAACGGGGCTTTGCACCCTGGGGGAAGGGGAAGGCTGGGGGCTTTGCTGCCCTTTCTGCTGCGCAAGAACCCATTTCATGCTGTGTGCTGGGAGAAGGGCAGCGCCTCCAGCATTGCTGCAGCTGCTCTGCGCTCCTCTCAGTGGGCCAGGAGCATCCTCTATGGGGCTGGGAGCCCTCAGACAGCCTGCTGCACTTGGGATTAACCCGAAGAGGGGGAGGAAATACCCTCTGGATGTCCTTCCCCCGGATTTGTTGGTGCCCCCCCCTCCCTCCACCACCACTGGCTCTCTGTGCAGTGCCAGAGCAGCTTTGGGCATTGCACGTTGTGTCCCCTTCCCATCTCCATCACAGTGTGCCGACGCGTCCCCTTCCATCCCATAACCCAACACAGCACCTCGATGGCCAATGCCAACTCCATCCCACACCGCTGCCACGCGTGGCTCAGCCCAGAGCCAGCACTGTGCTGGGTGGGGGCAGCGGGTGATGCAACAGAGCAGTG